AAGTCCTCTCTTGAGGTGCCCCTACACCAACTGAGATAAGTCCAGGTTGTTCTCAACATTCTCTTAGCCAATCAGGAGTCATATCTCCCTTCACGTACCTAGCCCACAGATGCTCCTTCAGGCACTGAACAAGGGAATGGATTGAGTAAGTAGCAGCTTCTTTGTAGAAATGGGGAGTCTATGGGGTAGAAATTTAAGTAACTTAAGTATCTAGTTTGAAGTTTCCAAGCTAGTGGAAAAAGAACACTCAATTTGGCATCAGAGGCTTGGGTTTGAATCCTAACTTAGGGACACATACCCCAGTTTCTTCCCCTGCAAAATGGCGCAGTTGACCTGTAGGGTCCTTTCAAACCTTAGGCTTTGGTTCTGGATTCACTATTACTGGGGTTTTTAAGACTGTTACCTGGATTGAAGCATTTTTTCCTCTTTCTTTTTCTTACTTTTTTTGGGAATGGAGCTAATGTGGAAATTTGTCTTGTATGAATATACACACACACATATTTGTAGGGCAGTTAGGTGATACAATGGATAGAGTGCCAGGTCTAGAGTCAAGAAGACTCCTCTTTCTGAGGTCAAATCTGACCTCAGATACTTACTAGCTGTGTGACCCTGGGCAACTCACTTAACCCCAATTGCCTAGCCAAAAAGAAAGAATTTGAAACTGGAAAGAAAATAAAATTGAATTTTAAAAAAGGATATTGTAGCTATTATTATTTAATAAAAACATAAATAATCTTAATTTGGAGGTTCTGTTAGCAGATTTTCTCCATATCTTATGTGACTATTTTTCTTTGTTGTCTGTTGAAGGTGTTATAACACAAAAGTTTGTTTTTCTTTTTTAAAAAGCAACTGTCAACTTTGATGCAGTTCGGTTCTGCTAATGCTTTGCTCATCCATTGGTGACTGGACAGTGATCTCTTGTTCCGGATACCTGTAGGTTGGTGAAAATTGACCCTCCGATTCCATTGCAGCTACAATCTCTCACTGGGACAACTCAAGCATCTCCTTATTCTGGTTCATCCTTCACACTGCCTATTATAAGATGGGGTCTGCTGGTTTTGAGACCACCATGACAGTTTCCCCTTAAGGGAGGCTACAGCATATAGATTCTGTGCACGTGAGCCATTGTTACAGGATGGCTCAGTTGTTTTTTCAGCTGTGTCCAACTCTTCATGGCCCCATTTGGGGTTCTCTTGGCAGAGATACCGGAGTGGGTTGCCATTTTCTAAGGTTAGGCCTGATGGTTTTGAGGCCACCATGACCATTTCCCCTTAAGGAAAGCTATTGTCTTATAAAACATACTCATGGAAAAATACTGTCAATAATATTTTTTGAAGGTGAGTATAGTTTTGTCTCCCAAATAATATTTTGTCTACTGCCAGCTTTTTTTCTTCTTGATAACACCCCCCCAAAATAATATTTTGTCCTGATCCCTAATATGCAACTCAGCCAGCTCTAAATCAGCACCTAAGAACCCCATTCCCAGAAGAGCACTTTGGAGCACCCCCTTCCTACCGAATGGACCCCTGTCTCTGTGCTTCCCACCACAGTGCTGCTCTATGTTAGCACGTATGCCTGAATTGTATGTAGGGTCCCCTTTTCTTCTTTTCCTTTTCCCCTCTTCCCCCCTACTTGCAATAAACTAATAAAGCTTTGCATTGAACTGACTCCCATTGTTTACTCTTATTCTCAAAGCCTGAATCATTAAGGGGTCGTTTTCCGTGACATCTCTGGCTGGTCCGTGGACCAATTAGACACAAACTGGTAAGAGAAATGATTATTTCTCTCTTATATTAGTAACCAATTATTAAATTAAGCTTAAGGTTTTCCCTTCCCATTTCCTCATTCAGAAACCAACTTATTCAGTTATTCAGTTAGCTGCTGAAGAACATTGCTGATGGATAAGATTGCCCAGATCTTAGGGGTACGTGCTTTTTGGTCTTGGGTGAGATCCCAACCAACTATAAAACCTTACAAATAGAATCCAGTCTAGGCGAGATCTTGCCATTAAAAAATAAGTCCCTATCTTGGGACCTTCCATTAGAATTTAAGGTGATCCAGCTTATGAGGGAGAAAACCAGCCAGAGTACTCTGGTAGAGATGGATTCTTTTGTCCAGTTTGCTGGAGGCAGCTGAGTCTCATGATTAGGTCATGTTCTCTGCAGAAGGAGCTGAAGACTTTTTGCCCAGCTCCTCATTAACATGGCCACTGCTTCATTGATCGTTAACCAATCAAAGTTGATGGAAATCTTCAGGGACACCCCCTTTTCCGAAAGTATTTAAATATTCAAGTGGCCTCCATGAGGGGTCTTTGGTTTATGAGAGAAAGCCACTGACCACATTTTATTAATGATTTTCTAGCCATAATTAATAAAAATGATTGTTAATTTACCCAGAAATTATGTCCCTTAGACTTTTCATTCGTCATACTGGTTACCTGAACAAAGACTTTATCTATTGACACTAGGGAAATGGGGCACTGGGAGCCCAGACCTAGAAAGGAAGAGTCATTAGGGGAACCTATGTTTTCTCAGGTGGGGACTCCCTCATGCCAGAGCTGTCACAAAACACTAGCAAAGTGTTATTCTGAAAGCGAAGCTGAGACTGCCTCACTGCCCTGCTCAAGAAACTCCACTGGGTACCCATGGCCTCTAAGAAAAAATACAGGGGCAGCTAGGTGGCGCAGTGGATAGAGCACCAGCCCTGGAGTCAGGAGGACCTGAGTTCAAATCCAGCCTCAGACACATACCGCTTACTAGCTGTGTGACCCTAGGCAAGTCACTTAACCCCATTGCCTAGCCAAAAAAAAAAATACAAAAGTCTTTATTTGGCATTTAAGGCCCTTTATAACTTGTCTCTAGGTTAATTTCCCAACATTATTATTCATCACTCCCCCTTATGAGCTCTTCAGTTCTGCTGGTATTCCTGCCATTCCTCCTACGTGGTACTCCCATTTCCCACTTCCATTGCTTTGTATAGGCTGCTTCCTATGCCTGGAATATTCTCTCTCCTAACCTTTGCCTCTTGGAACCCTTATCTCCCTTCAAGGGTCACCTAAAAAGCCTTCTTCAAGAGGCCATCCCCTAATTCAGGGTTAGGGAACCTGTGGCTTTGAGGTCACAGGTGGCCCTCTAGGTCCTCAAGTGTGGACTCAAGTTTCAGAAGTTTGGTTTCAGTCAAAGGGCTGCACTTGAGGACCTAGAGGGCCACAGATTCGCCACCCTGCCCAGGTTGTTGGGCACCACTCTCCCCACACACAAACCACTGTGTATTTATTTTGTGTATATCCTCAAGAAGCACCTGGCATGTACCTGGCCCATAATGATGATGGTGATGAAAACAATACTAATAACAAAAGCTAATATAACATAGCACTTTGGGATTTGTAAAGTACTTTACATACGTTAATTTATTTGCTCCTCCAAGCAATCCCTGGACATAGGTGCTAATATTAGCCCCATTTTACAGATGAGTAAACTGAGGCGCAGAGAGGTCAGGTGACACAGCCTATGAGTTTCTGAAGCAGGATTTAAACTCAGGTGCTTAATAAACACTTGCTGATTTGACTGATTGGTTAGTGAAATCCAGTTCCGCCAAAAGCAACCAACCCACCCCTTCCTGCACTACTCTTGTCCACTTGAAGAACTCTTCCCTAATTTCTTCATAGAGAGCCCCCCCAATACATGAGAGACCTTCCTTGTATTCCCTCAACATCTATCGCTTGATTGCCAATGGAGGGCATGCGTCATGTGGCCAGCCCAAAGTTGTGACTGGCAGCCCATTTCCTTGATGATGTCCATCCCACCACCTCCCCAGTTGAATTCCTTTCTGAGTGTGTAATTACCTGCTCAGCCTGTCCATGCACCTCTCCATTGACTTTTGTGGGGGTCATCAATTTCAGTTGGGTGGAAGCCATCATGTTCTATGTGTCATAGCCTTGGAAGGTCACTGGAAGAATACTGGTTTTGAAAAGATGGGCCTTTGCTTCAGGGAAAAGATGGAGGTCATTTAGTGAGCACAGTGATATCCCCCAAAGCAGGCCATTCCCACCTTCCCCCTTCTGTTCAGTGCTGGGTCTGATTTGTTGTCCATGGGCACTCTGTTCGAGATAGACGGTCTGTTGGACAAGATGGTGTTCTAGCCAAATGCACATAATTGTGTGTGGTAGAACAGCCACTTTTCATCCATCAGGTGAGAAAACACTGAGAGAAACCGGAGAAAACTCATGAGGTGAGAACCTAGGGAGATAAGTCACAGAGGGAATCAGTGAATGGACCCATTGAAGAAAGATGGTGCTGAAGTCAAATTCTGGCTGCTCTTCACTCCTAGTCATCAGTCTGACTGTCTCCTTCCAGCCCTGCCACCCCACCCCCAGAAGCAGCTACACCCCCTCTCAGGTCCCAAGAAGGGAAGATCCTCCACCTGGCCCTGCTGTTGGGGAAGCGAGCCAAATCTCCTCCCGTGATTTTTTCCTTCAAACTCACAGGGAGGTTCCCAAGAAAGCCCATCCATGGTGCCCTTTGACCCAGCTGAGCATCTATCTTAGGACTAGGGATCAGTATAACCCCCAGGCCTTACCCTCACAGAAGCACCTTTGCCAGACCTCATGCCCTAAGGTAAGAAGAGATGTCAAGGTCAGGAGGGGAGGGAGGGAACCCATTCTGTTCTGGGCAAGGAGGCTTCTTTATCCTCTGAGGAGAACCTCAGAATGAGAATTTAGGAATGCCCTGGTCACCCCTTGCCTCCTAGATCTCCCCAGGTCTGAGGGCGAGTCAGGAGAAGGGGTAGTGGGGTCACACCAGTGGGAGGTCCTGGATGACCCTGGGGCATTTGCTTCCCTTCTTCTCCATGGGCAGAGGGAAGAGCACACTTCTTAGGGGAGGCAGGAAGCCATTGTATCCATCCAACAGTGGGGGAGGAACCCAAGATTTGGAACCTAAGCTTTTTTCTTAAAGAGCCCATGTGATCTGACCTTGAGGAGTTAAACAAGTGGGGGAGTGAACCATAGGCAAGACTAGTCCCAGAGAGTCCAAAGCAGAGTCAAAGTTGGAGGCGGAGGCAGAGGCAGAGGACCATCTGCCCTGTGGGGCAGGGTAAGAGAGAAATCTCAGCGTGGGAAGGAGAGCACAGACCCATGGAGACATACTGGGACCTTCCCCATGACTGGCCTAGCTGTTGGAAGGGATTTCTGTTCACAGGTGAGAGAGAGGCTGAGTGATAATTCACTGAGACACAGGCCAGGACTCAGGAGACCCCACCCTGGGGCCTGACCCAGTCCCTGCCTGGTCCCCCTGAGGTAGGGGACAGTGGTCTTCCCTCCCCTGGGACTTGGTTTTCATAGGTTGTAAAATGAGGAGCAAGAGTGGAGAGGTGGGGATCTTTAGGATTTTGGATGAATTAAGGAAGGAAGGCATAATAGAAATAGCATTTAGTAACCACCTACTATGTACCAGAAAGGGCAGCTAGGTGACTCTGTGGATAGAGTGCCAGGCCTGAAGTCTGGCAGAATTCATATTTATGAGTCCAAATCTGGCCTCAGACATTTGCTAGCTCTGTGACCCTGGGCAAGTCACTTAACCCTGCTTGCTTCAGTTTCCTCATCTGCAAAATGAACTTGAGAAGGGTCCAGCATCTTTGCCAAGAAAACCCCAAATGGACTCACAAAGAGTCGGACACATTTGAAAAACAACAGTTTGTACCAGGCACTGTGCTAATCACTAGTGATACAAATACCAAAAAAACAAAACAAAACAAAAAACAGACCAAAAAAAAAAAAAACAGGACAATGACTGCTCTCAAGACGCTTTCATTTTAATAGGTGAAAACAATCCAGATGGACTTCTGGTGGCCAGGAAGGGGTTTTGTTCAGGACAGTCATGTAGATGGTGAGGAGAGGCATGGAGTAATTGATGGCTTCTCCTTTTCAGGAATGGTGGTATCCATTCAATGACTGTCCCCACAACTAGAGTCAGAAGTCATGGGTAGGGGAAGGAGTGTAAAGATGGCTTGGGAGCATCATGGTAGTATGGGTTAAGCAGACTGGGTTAGGAAATGGTAAAGGAGGCCCTGGGCAGGAGCTAGAGGGCCATTGGTCAGAGATGCACAAGAACCTGGTTTAAGTTTCAGCTCTCCTATTTATTACTCTATGGTATTGGGCATCACCCATCCTCTCTGGGCCTCAGTTTCCCCATCTTAACAAGGTTAAGTGCTGCTAAGTGACCCTGGGAAAGTCACTACCTCTCAGTGCCCTGGTCAACTCTCTAAGCTTATAAATTGTAGAGAATGGGCTTGTCCATGTAAGTGGAGGGACTTTCCTCACCAGGAAGTTCCCTAGACCAATGAAGTCACAAGTGTAGATTCCATGTGCATCAAAGGACTCTAAATCCTGGGATCCTGTTCATAAGCTCCTATCAGAGGGCCTTGGATTGGAGGGAGGAGAGTCATCTCTGGGTTATTTATGGTTACATATAATATTATTATATTAATACAGTTTTATAAATATGAGGTTATTTCTACCTATATATTATTAGTAGGTAAAAAATAATAATGCAAATGGATTGTTTATATTTTATATGGTATTATTTATATGTAGATATCATTTATGGGATTACATATGTTTGTCAGTTATTAATAACAGGTAAATAATGAGCCCAGTTCCTCTGGTTGCTGAGTGAGGACTCTCTCCATCCCTTTCCACTACTTCTTTAAGGGAGGTCTTGGATGTGATCCTCATTAAGACCAACAGGAAGAGGGGGAGGGGGATTAATGATCCCTCTCCCCACCCTCCCTCTCCCTCTCTGGGGCTCTCTGTCACTTTCTAGTTCTTTGAAGTGAGATAGCTGAGCTGTCCCACACAACAGGGTCACTTAGAGATGCCCAGGGGGGTCAAGTGTTTCATAAGGGGGGGGTGTCTCCCTCAGGTACTTCTGATGGCAGTCCCACCTCTGAGGTCACAGGCTGGGTGGCGGGTGTTACCAATTATTGAGGTTAAGATGGAAGAAGGAAGATCCCAGATTTGGAGGTTCAGGGTGGGGATGGGGTCAAGAGGATGGGAGAGGGGATAGCAGGGAAAAGGATGGGGCATGAGGGGGCATCTATCAGAGATACCAGAGATTTCCCTGGGCTACTCCAATAACCTTAGACAAATCACTGAACTGTCCCTGGATCTCCTTCCTTGTATAAGTAGGGTACTGAAGGAGATGTCTAATGGTATTGGCAGTCTGAAATCCTGTATCAAACCCTGGGCTAATTATCTCTCTGGCTGAGTGTCAGAGAGGGAGTGAAAGAGGGAGAGAAAGAGGAACAGAGAGAGGGAAAAGAGCAGAGAGAGAGGGAGAGAAGGAAGAAGGGAGGGATAAGGAAGGAGGGAGAGAGGGAAGGAAGGAAGGAAGGAAAGAAAGAAAGAGGGAAATAGGCAGAGAAAGAGGGAAGGAAGGAGGAAAGGATAGGGAAGAAGAGAAGGAGGGAGAGAAAGAAGGAAGGAAGGAGGGAGGAAAAGAGAGAGAGAGAGGAAGAGCAGGAAAGAAGGAAGGAAGATAGGACCAGCTCAAAGACACAATGAAGCTAAGAATGGGGAGGTCCTTGGGCTTCAGGTATAGCCAGGCAGTGCTCCCACCTCAGGGACTTCCCACTTGACTCCATGACCTTGGAGAAGTTACTCCCTCTGCCTGGGCCTCATTTTCCCCCTCTGCAAGATTTAAGGCTGGACAAAAGCATCTTAAAGGATCCTAGCCCTAGAACTGGGTCAGACCTGAGAGGCCATCTGGCCCAATTGCCTCATTTTACAGATAAGGAAACTGAGGCTCAGAGAGGTTAAACCCCATATCCAAAGTCACACAGACAGTAAGGAACAGAGCAGTTCTAGAACCCTGATCCATGATTGGCTGAGGATTCCTCTCCATATCTTTCCCAGGGTGACATGGTAAATGTCTGAGGCATATTTGAACCCTGGTCTTCCTAATTCCTAGTCAAGATACTTAATTAGGACCAGATCACCAGTGCAGGTCCTCTCCATACCAAGAAGTAAGTATCAGAACTGGGAGTGGAACCCAAGACTTCTGGCTATAAGTTCTCAGCCCAGTGGATTCTAGGGGAAAGCCAGACCAACCAGGGTTGATTCTGAAGAGATGACTCTCCCTGGGAGATGCCCCAAGGACAGGTGGCAGGTCCCACCCTTCTCTGGGCTGGGGGTGGGGTATAATTCTGCCCTCAGGGTCCATTGCTGTCTCCAGGGTATCTACTTTCATGGATCCCATAATATCTGAACTAAGTCATATAGATGATTAGCGATAATTAGTGACAGTCATGTAATTCTAACAGCTCAAACTATCTCCTTTTCCCTGGTCCCTTAGGAAGATGAATGAATGAATGAATGAATGAATGAATGAATGAATGAATGAAAAAAAAATTTATTAAATGCTTGCTACATGCTGAGCACATGCTTAGGAGGGGGCCAGTGGTACTGACCTTGTCTTTCTCCCTTCCTTCTCAGCCACAATCCTCAGCTCTTCCGTGCAGCTAGCTTCTTTGGTCCAGCTGAGCATAGTACCTATTCCTTCCTATGGGTCAATCGGGAGCAACGTCACCCTGTCTGTCCATGGGATCCCAAAGGAGCCTCAGACTTATTCCTGGTTCCGGCAGATGATGGAGGAATCCAACAAGATTGTTAGCTATGCAGTCCATTCCAGAGAGCAGACTTTAGGACTCAACCACACTGGCCGGGAGAGCATTTTCCCGAATGGCTCCCTACTTATCATCAACCTTACTTCTAAAGATAATGGTGTTTACATTATACAAGTCGCCACCACCGATTTGAAGCCAGTATTGGGACAGGGGCATTTGCAAATCAATGGTAAGAGACTTCCCAAGGACTAAGGTCATCTAACCCGTTTCTAGAAGATTATCTCTCCTTCTCTCCCAGTGTCTAGGGGTGGGGGTGGATTTCAGAAGCATGGAGAGGCGCCCTGCGGATTCCTGACAAATTCATGGATTGTGCCTATTCTGATGGAATGTTAGCTCCTTGAGGGGAACGGTTGTTCCCATCTTGTGTTCTCACCTTTACTGCCTAGCACAGTGCCTGGCACGTAAATAAATGTTTTTTGGTTGGTTGGCTGATTCATCTGAGGATAAGACCAAGAATTAAGAAAAGGTGGCGAATCCTCTTTCTTGTTCCTCTTTATACTTCAATTAAAAGAATTATTAAGCATCTGCTGTGTCCCAGGCACTTGAGGCAGGGCCCTAGAGGACCTTCCTTCCCAGCTGTGGCAGGAAGGGATGAGAGTGAATCCAGGGAATCAAAGGACGAGAAATTGGAGATTTGCCTTTTCCATTCCCTACCCCAGGGGAGAAACACCCCCTGTCTTTATAAAGACACTCCAACAGAAGACACATCCATGTGTCTGGGCACTAGAACAGCTGAGCCTGGACAGCCTGGGCCATGTCTCAGGGAAAGGCCACATCTCGCCTAGAGGAGCCAACGAAAGCTAGGGTGAGGGTAGGGCATGGGGCATTCCACCCTCAGTCACCATTTCTTACAATGCTTTCCTTTGGCCTTAACCCAGGTCCAAGGCTCCACCTGCCCCATGGATCATGATAGGATCTGAGCAAACCCAGGAACTTAGAGGATCATTGAACCATAGATTTAGAGCCAGAAGGGACCTCAGAGGCCAAGCCCAACCCTTTTATTTTACAGCTGAAGACACTGAGGCACACAGGTGAAGACTTGCCCAGAACCACAGTTAGTAGGTGTCTGAAGTAGGACTTGGACACTGGTCTTCCTAATTCCTAGGTCCAGTGCTTTAGGGTCTCTGATCAGAACTGCAGGACATCAAAAGTGGGAGGAGCCTTAAAACAAAGAATGATAGAGCTGGGAGAATCAGAGAATCACAGATACTAATAACAGTTAGCATTTAGAGAGCGTTTTAGAAATAGTGCATTTGCCTCACAATAACTTGTTGTTGTTGATTCATTTCAATCTTGTCTGACTCTCCATGACCCCATTTGGGGCTTTCTTGACAAAGATACTGGAGGGGTTTGCCACTTCCTTCTCCAGATCATTTTACAGATGAGGAGACTGAGGCAGACAGGATTAAATGACTTGTCCAGGGTCACACAGCTAGGGTGTCTGAGGCCACATTTGAACTCAAGAAGATGAGTCTTCCTGACTCCAGGTCTGGCAGTCTATCCACTCTACCACCTAGCTGTGCTATCTCTGGAAGGTAGGTGCTATTATGCCCATTTTTACATATGAGGAAACTGGGGCAAAATTATTTGTGCAGTGTCAAACAGCTAAGTTACTGTCTGAGGCAGGATTTAAACTCAGATCTTTAGACTATAAGTTCATCACTCTATCCATGCCACCTAGGGGTATGTTTGTGTGTGTTGTGTGTGTGTGTGTGTGTGTTTGTGTGTGTGTGTGTGTGTGTGTGTGTGTGTGTGTGTGTGTGTGCTTTGTCTCAGGTACTAACATCTGAAGACTTGAGGGTGGGGGATGAAAGCAATCTTAATATAAGAGATGGGGTCACTGACAGTGGCAGAAGTGGGGAAGGAGAAGTATGGGACAGAAAATCTCTTTAAAACTGGGAACTCCCTGGAAGCAGAAACCTTGACTGCCCCCATTAGATTGGGGGCAGCCTGAAGGCAAGCCTTTCTCTCTTCTCTTACCTGCTATTTCCCTACAGCTTCTAGCAGAGGGTGCTGTTTTGGAGGGACCTTAGAGAATGTCAGAGATGAGAAGGGCCTTAGAACAGAAAATGTCCAAGTTAGGAGGGTCATTCCTACACAGAATGCAGAGGAAAGAGGGTAATTAGTGTTTAGAATGTCAGAGCTGGGAGGAACCTTAGGACAAAGAATGTTTGACCTGGAAAAAATGTGGAAATCATTTAACTCTAAATCTGAACACGAGAAACTGGGAATAAAGACAGACAAGAACACCTACCCAAGAGAGGAAGACTAGTCCATACAGGGTTGGCCTCTGATCCAAGAAGGCCTGGTTCAAATCCTACCTCTGAACCATCCTGGCTGTGTGACCCTGGGTAAATCACTTCAATTCTGAGTGGTCCAAGCAACTAACTCTCTAAGACTGTAAGTTGGAGAGAAGGTGCTGACCTGAACTGGTGGAGAGTTTCTCACCCAGGAGTTCTTTCTGCTAGTGAAATCGTTGGTCTATCCCACGCAGCTGGCCAAAGTAGAACTGTTCCTCCAAATTTGGCTCTCTCCATCCAGTCCCAAACTCTAAAAGCAGAGACACCTAGACAATACTGGAAAGTTGGTGTCATGTATTTGATGAGTCACAGGCATAACTTGGCTGTCTCTCCCCTGCACCCAAGCCTTGTCTTCTCTTGAATGGATTCTGCCCCTAGCCTGTTTGCTGGCTTCTTGGTCTCTGATCTTTCATTTTCTTGTCTCCCCTGTCCAGGTACTGGATCCCTCCCCTCTGACCTCTGCTCAGAGACCTCTGGCCACCAACTTCCTATTATTTGCATCTATAGCTCTGAGGGTGGGGCAGACAGGGCTTTCCCCTAGGGTAGTGATACTGGGGTGGGCACTGCTTCTTCCCCTCAGTTTTCCCACACTTGCTGGTCCTCTATTAGTCCCATGCCATATGGCATGACAAGGGTCCTTTCCTGTAGTCTGCATTCTACCACAAGTTTCTCATTCCTCTCGGACCCTACTACTCTGCTCCCTTCCTGCAGCCTCCTTGATGTGGTATCCTCCTCCCCTGTAACCCCCTCTTGGGGCAGAGGTCATGGGATTATAGATTTAGAGCTGGGAGGGATCTTTGAGACCATGGAGTCTAGCACCTTCATTTTAGAGATGAGGAAAATGAAGCACAGAGAGGTTTTGGTGACTTACCTAGGGTCATACAGCTAATAACAGTCAGTCAAAAAGCATTTATTAAGTAGTTACTAATAAAAGTGTCTGAGGTGGGACTCGAACCAAGGTCTATTCTGACTCTAAGTCTCATCCTCTGTCCACTACACCATGGTGCTGCCCAAGTATTACCTTGTATGACCACACCTGAGACTTGGAATAGAGTATTGTCCACACATCTCCCCTCCCACTCCTTCTGGGTGCCAGGATTCCTAGCTACATTTCTGTTAACAACAATAACAACAAGAAACATTGATATAGCACTTACTATGCACGTCACACCAACCTTGGGAGGTAGGTGCTATTACTAGCTTCATCTAGAGAGAAGTAAACAGAGGCAGACAGAGGTTAAGTGACTTGCCCAGGGTCAGAGATTTTGGAACTATCCGAGGCTGATTTGGTCTTCCTGACTCCAGGCCCAGCACTATCCATTGCACCATGTAGCTGTTTAGATTCTAGCTGCCCTGTTCTACTCGTGCTATTCATCCTGATATATAGGAGCTACCGAAATGTGCCCCAGACCCTCCTCCCAAGCCCTGTTCTCTAGCCATTCTCCACATTTCTTTTACTGCAGAAAACAGGGCTTAAGCCTCTTCCATGCACCTGTCTGTCTCTCTGAGTTTTTGGTCTCTTCCTCTTCCCTTAGCACCCAGGGAACTCTCCCTTCCTTGTCATTCAAAGCCCATCTGAAGACATGCAACCCCCGAGAGCCTCGCCCCAAGCACTCTTCCACAGGGAACTCTCCCTGCTCTGACCTGATAATGCCAGGGGCTCTCCCACATGTGCCTAATTATCTGCAGCCCTGCCTTTCCTCCCCCTCACAGAACATAAGTTCCCCCAGGTCAAAGTTTTAGCCTTCACTCCCCACAGAACTGAGAACACAGCGTCCTCCAGACACCCAGGTTCAAGGCTCAGCTCAGTTGGACTTACCGTGAGACCTTGGGTGAGTCCCTGACTCTCTTTGGGCCTCAGTGTTGGACACTATAACCCTAAATTCAGGGACTCAGGTCTTCAGGCTTCAGTCTCAGGCTGCACCCTCTCCTCTCTTGGCAGATTCTTCTAAGACCTCCCACTTTGGATTAGTCGCCAGCATTGTCCTCGGAGCCCTGGCTGGTGGGATCGTCGTGGGTGTCCTGGGCTATTTCCTCTTCAAGCAGACTCAAGGGTAAGGACTCTGCAAGAAAATGGACTTTACTGGGACCCATTCTTTTCTCAGGTCCAAGGATAAGCCTAGCCCCTGGGGGGGGGGCAATATGAAGAACCTTGATGATTAAAACCTCAGAGGCCTCATCATCAGCTCAGCCTCCCTGGGGGTCTCTGACATACAGCCAAGCACGAAGGATAAAGCCCACCTTGCTACCCCAAGTCACAACCCTTGACTGGCAGCAGGGTGCTAGGAGGTTAGTGCCTTGTTCTCACTCATCCTCCTGGGGAATGGAGTCCTGCCCTGGACCCCAATCCTTTGCCCAGCTTCCTGAGCCCAGTTCTAAACCCCTATGCTGCTGTGCCCCTATGCTTCCCCAGAGGCTCCCCAATGGGACACCTCTCTCTTAGTCTGTCAGAAAGATCCCCTGGCTGAGCCTTCCTGATGGACATACTCTGACTTTGTGTTTCCAACTGGGATCATTTTGCCCCCTACTTGTAGTCTTGGCCTTGGTGTGCTGCCTGGAACCTGGTTTTTGGCCTGTCCCCGTTACTTCTCCTGGAGTCCTTCCCCTAAATGCCAGCCCTCCCTACTCCACACCCTGATCTAGTTTTTGTTCTAAAAGGAACATTTTTTCCTAAAGTCCTGTATGCCTCATCCCACGTGCCTGCTGAGACACCCTCCCTCTCCCCCTCTAGCCCCCATGGTTTCCTGTTTCCAGTTGCCTACAGATAGACTCCCATGATGCCATACTCAATATACCTACCAGGTCCCATGTGTTATTCCCCACCCCATCCCCACCTCATATTCTTAATGTGTACTCACCGCTGGCTAGACTTCATCCTATTTCCTGCTGCCTGGTTTCCTAACATGAGATGCTTAGATTCGGTCTACTTTACATACATATGCATGTACACATATACATACATATACACATATGTATATGTAAATATACATATACATATATATGTGTGAAGTATTTAATGTGTGTATATACATATAAATATATAAAACAATATTTATATGTTTGTAATATACATATTTCTGAATTTAACCAAAAAACGAATATTTTCCTATTCAAAGTAGAACAGAGAGAAGGTTATTTGTGAAACTGCACATCTCTACTACATACAGTCTGCTGTTTTAAAAAAGTAAATTTGTATTGATATTGTTTGTTTTAACATTGCCTAAAATTTCCACTATATCTCTTCCTTCTGAGAGAGGAGGGGGTATATCCCTTATGTGTTATAACCCCTGTAACAAAGATTTTTTTTTTGAAGAAAAAGGAAAGCAGACAAAAACAAACTGATTGATATTGAAAAAAAACCCAACAATTGATACTATGTATGTAGTGTTCCACTGGACCCTACAGCAGCCCCCTGTCCCCGACTCTGCAGAGGAATGGCTGGGAAAGTGTTTTCTTCAGTCTCTTCTTTGGGAATCACTGGTTGCTATTTTAAAAAAGTATCTCCTAAAGTCAACATGTCACTTTCAAAGCTGTACTCTTTTGTGTATTAAAAAAAAAAAGTTTCCATGACCCACTTTTCTTTATTCATTTTTTGGCAACACTATCTCCTCCCTTCATTCCCTGATGAAAAAGAAAAACTCTTTGTAACAAATTAGCAGAGTCAAGCAAAACACTCACACACGAGTTACATCCAAAAAACTCGGTCATTCTAGCTCCTCGAGTCCACCCAGCCTCTGTCAGTGGGTGAGCAGCAAGATGTATTAGCAGCCCTCTACACTAGTGGTTGGTCATTATGTTGATGAGACTTCCTAAGTTTTTCAAGTTGTTTGTCTTTACAATACTGTTATTGTATAAGTTGGTCTCCTGCTTTGAGTCACTTTACTCTGCATCAGTTCACGCAGGTTTTCTCAGGTTTCTCTGAAACCTCTTCATTTGTCATTTTCTGCATTTCTCCTAATGTGCCTTCCTCATATCTGCTACGGTCTGCTTCTTGCCTGATAATCCTAATGCTTTACTTCTGCATGCCTACCAGGCTTCCTGTCTCCTCTCGATTGCCTCCTCTCAGTGATTCCTCTCATGACTTGCCTCCACCCCATACTCCTTCCAGCACATCCTCTGTTGAACACTCTTATATTGGCACTACCTGCTCCCAGACTCCCAGGAATTCCACCTCCCACTGCTAGGATGCCCACTTGGTTTCCCAATTACATCCTCACTCCAGGAAGTCTTTTTATTCTTCCAAGCTTGGCTTATGTCATTGCAACCAACTGCTGGCACTGATAAGATCTCTCACTGACCCACTAGCTTGGCTGTGCCCCTGACTTTGGCAGTTATCAGCATGGGAATGGGAGTGTAGCTGGGAAAGGAGAGTTGTTTTCATGCTGGCACAATGCTCTGCCTCTTCCTATATCCTCAGGTCTTCACAGAGCAAGAGGGGAGATTCTGTCCGAAGACGAAGGAATCATCCTGTAAACCAGACTAATGGTGAGTTTCTGAGTTTGGGAAGGGAAGGGTCTGTTGGGGTTGCCTCTTCCCCATTTGAGCATAACCAGTGCGGCTTAATGGGAGGAATACTTAGTTAGAGTCAGTACTTTGAGGTCTGAGGCCCAGCTCTAGTGCTCACTGTGAGACCCTGGACAAGTCACAAGGCTTTCAGAGCCCTAGTTTCATTGTCAGTAAAATGAGGGTGCTCATACATGTCACATCTTCCTTCAGATTTTCATTGCATCTTTGAGCTCACTTGGCCATACTTTTCCTACATATAGGTCATAACAGGAAAATTCATGAGTCATCGGCAAGTCCTCCCATAGTTAAGATACTCATGGGTGACTTAATGAATTTATATCAAGTTGAATGGATCTATGATTGATGAGGGTGTTTCCTACAGGAATACAAACCCCAGCCTCTCTGTGGACTTTCTTCCATGTGTTCCCAGGATAAGTTCACCACAAGAGAAGTCCACCCAACATATGGAGGAGGGGGGCTTCTTCCTGGACTTCTCTCCTCATCCCAGATGTACCCATGAAATGTGTGAGTTGTCACTGAACCACAGAGTTGGAAGAGACCTCAATGGTCATCTACTCTAGCCCACATGAGAAAGAAAGACACTTGACAGGTGGTCCTCCAGCCTTGACTAGAAGGCCTCTAGTCAAGGGGAGCCCAATATATCCCAAGGTAACCCATTCCACTTTGGACAACTCTTATTGGTAGGAAGCTGTTTCCTGACCTCAAGTCTCAATTTGCCTCTGGGCATCTTCTACCTATGGCTCCTGATCCTGCTCTCTTGGGGTCAAACAGGTCATGTCTAATCTCTTTTATACATGACAGCCCTTCAAATACCTGAAGATAACTGTCATGCTACACCCTGCCCTGCCCCAGTCTTCTGTTCTCCAATCTAAACAACCAATCCTCATATAACATGGACTCCAGGCCTTTTGCTATCTGGTTATCATCCTCTGGACACTCATGTCCTAGTCAGAACTGAGCAAATTACTCCAGTCAGCAGTCAGCAGTCAGCCAATAAACATATATTAAACCTCAAACTCTGAAATGCTTGATGGCAGTTTTTAAGCTACTTGCCTGTTTCTGTATATAAAAATGACAAATTAATATCGTAAAAAAAATATTGATAGACAATGTTGTAAAAAAAAATAACTGTGAGTCTGTGAACTAAACCAGTTTGGAAATGTTACCTAATTTCTATGCATGTTAAATGTCATACCAGAAGCACAGAAATGTAGTTTTATTATAATAAATTACAAAACCACAAAAACCCCATATATTAAGCACTTACTATGTACTAGGCACTGTGCTAAGTGCTAGGGATACAAATAGGAAAAGGAAAGTCCTTGCCCTCCAGAAGCTTACAATCTTTTCTTTCGGAGGTAATCAGGGTTAAGTGACTCGCCCAGGCTCACACAGCTGGTAAGTGTCTGAGGCCGGATTTGAACTCAGGTCCTTCTGACTCCAGGGCCGGTGCTCTATCCATTGTGCCACCTAGCTGAGCCAGGAGCTTGCAGTGTAATAGAGGAAAAAGGACACTCAAAAGAATACGATCTGGCTGGCTCAGAGTCCATACAGTGCAATTACTTTTTCCTTCTTCTTGAAGGCTGCGCCTATGTTTTTGGCCACCATATCACTCTGTTCACTTGAAGTCCACTGAAACACTTAGATCTTTTTTAGATAAGCTATTGTCTATCCATCTTTCTCTTGAAAAGTTGATTGTACCAAATGTGACACTTTTCATTTATCCCCATGACATTTCATCTCACTAGCTTTTTTTTTTAAGGCAATTGGGTTAAGTGACCTGCCCAGGGTCACACAGCTAGTAAGTGTCAAGTGTTTGGTCTGAGGCCAGATTTGAGCTCAGGTCCTCCTTACTTCAGGGCCGGTGCTCTATCCACTGCACCACCTAGCTGCCCCCATCTCACTAGTTTTTGAACAATGCTTGAGCCCACCAAGATCTGTTCTGGATACTAACTCTGTCATCCAATGTGTTCCTTCTCCCAGCTCTGGGGTTCTGTGATCTTTTTGGTGGGTCATCAGCCCTCATTCTTGCTAACAGAGAATCAAAGATAAACCAGTGCAATGCTCTTTAGCCTTTAAAATGGTGTGGAAATCCAATTATTATTGTTGTTTTGTTCTGAACTTGTGATTTGATCAGTGGTCCAGGGAATGGAAAGTCCCTCTGCCAACGCATACTGGTACTCACTCCGCAGCTGAGAAGCTTAGTGAGCTGTCTGGGCCACTGAGATTTGCAGAGAGTCACACAGCCAGGTTGCCTCTAAGGCTGAACTCAAACCCTGATCTTCCTGACTCTGAAGTCAGCTCTCTAGCCACCACATCAGCCTACCACTCAGACTCATTGCCATTGATGGCAATGACAAGCAGCTGCCAGTCTCCATGACTATTTTCACGTCTCAGATATGTTCCCTCCCTCCTCTAAGAGCCTAGAAGAGAAGAAGTATGGCCAATGGCTTTGCTTCGTGGAGTTGTCTCCCCCTTTAGCAATTCACATCTCACCTTGGAGAGAGAGAGAGAGAGAGAGAGAGAGAGAGAGAGAGAGAGAGAGAGAAAGGCAGAGACAGCAACAGAGAGAGAAGAGGAGAGAGAGGAGAGAGGAGAGACAGAGAAAGAGAGAGACGGAAAGAGAAAGACAGAGAGAGAGTGTGTGTGTTCTGGTCTTTGAGGTTCATAGAGGACTTCTGGATTTCTCCCCCTCCAGGTGGAGAAGATATCATGTGTGAAAATCAGTGGTATCAAAGCATGACCCTGATTCGCCAGGTGAGAACCCCCCCCCCCATTCTTAGCTCCAGGTCCCTGGCTCAATCCCTCCTCTCCCTTCCTCTCTGACACAGATTCCCCAACCCAGGCCTCATAGAGCAGGGTGTCCTCATTAAAAAGACCCGTAGACTCTAGAATGTTAGATCTGGGAGGGTCCTCAAAGCACAGAATGTCACAAATGGCTTTAGAATAGGAAAAGGTAGCACTGGGAGGGACCTTACAATGGAGAATGAGGAGAACCTTAGAATACAGATTGTCAGAACTAAGATGGACCTTAGAACAGGGAATTCTAGAGCTGGGAGGGTCTCAGAAGTTATCTCATATAATCCTTCATTTTACCATTGAGAGAGCTGAGATTCAAAAAGTTTAAGTGACTCGCTCAAGGTTTCATGGGTAGCAAGTAGGAGAGTCAGAGTTCTTTTCCCATTGCCTCACCTTGGATTTTCCCCAGATAAATCAGTGATGATTTATCCAAACAGAAAAGCTTTCGACCCCATCCCTGTACCAGGAAAACTGACCCCTCCTCTCTGGAACATCTGTATGTCACAAAGCCCTAAGGACATGAGGAAAGCATATCTTGAGGAAGGAGTCTGCCATGCAAGCAATCAGACAGGCCTACTAACTGTCTATAGCGTTTTGACTCACAGGTATAGACTCAACAAAAGGGGAAAAAACCTACAACATATTGAAACACTGTCTGCAGCTTTTCCCATAACCAAACAGCCAATCAGTGAGACTTTATTAAGTGGCTACAGCCTGCTAAGCACTTTGCTAGGGTCTGGGAATACAAGAACAACATTGAAATAGGCCCTGCCCTCAAAGCGCTTACATTCTAATGAGGGAGACAAGGTATAAACATAAATATATGCACATATAACGTGTATTTAGGAGGAATAACTATACGCACACAAGATGCATAGATATTTATGGAATAAATGCACGCATATGCAATATGCATAGATAGAAAAAAACCAGAAGAGTTCCATCCTCAGGAAACCTACCTTTTTTGGTTGGGGGGGGCACACAAAATGTAGATAGACTGTTTAGGAAGACACAATGTGTATCCATACACATATGTATATTTTCTATATACTTATATGAATATGAAGCACTCTGAACACTGTGTGCATGTCCTAAAATATTAAACATGCTCAACTCTCAGAAATTTTAGGAAAGATGAAGGCCAGGTTGAATCCCATCAACCACTTCTGCCATCGTTCTACAAGGAGGGAACAAAGTGAATTCAGTTAATAAAGCATGCATCCTAAATGCTGTCCTACTCAGCCTTCAGGAGGGTCATTGCCAAGTTCTTGAAGGACTCAGCAGCTCAAGGTGAATCAGTGCCCTTCAGCATCTCCTCCCTCACCATGTGAACCAGCTGCCAAGCTAAAAGCCACAGTCTTCATAAGGGAAAACTGGAGTTGAGGCCAGAGAGTTGTCTTCTCACTCCCATCACCATCTTGCTTTTTCTTGCCCCTATGTTGAATCATAGATCTAGGTCTCAGAATTCATCCCAAGGGTTAATATAATAGATTTCCTTTATAATCTCACGTATCTTATTTTATACATTTAAAAGCACAATTCTGGGCTTCACCAGACCGTCAATGGCATCCACGATGCCAAAAAGGTTAAGCAACCCCCACATTCTAGTTTATCTCCATCATTTTACATCTCAGGAAACTGAGAGTCCAGAGACATTGAGTGACTTGCCCAATGGCACGTAGGCAGTGGCAGAGTTGACATTTGAACTCAGTTCCTCTGACTGAGGAGGCAGTGCTCTTTCCACCATGCCACACTGCCCACTGTCACATTGGTGCTCCTTGGTGCTCTTTTCCTCCTCCATCCCTGAAGCCTTGGTGAGATGAGGGGATGGAGGGAGGGTGCAGCTACCTGTCTCTTATTTTTTCATAGGGAGAAGGCTTGTCCTCCATTTCCTCTCCAGAGATATCGGAGGCCCCCCACCAGGTAATGTGGGTGTGAGAAAGTCAAGGAACATGGATTTGGAGCTGGAAAGGCCCTTAGAGATCTTATAGTTCATCCCCATCTTTTTACTTCTGTCAGTCAATAAGCATTTTAAAAGCACCTACTATGTGCCAGACACTGTGCTAAGAACAGGAGTACACATGAAAAATAAAAAGTCTTTGACCTTGAGGAGCTTAAATTTTAATGAAGGAAGACAACACACAAAAGGATGTTGGAAAGGGGTGGGGGTAGAAGTACCTGGGATGGGGGTAGGGGTCATAATGGAGAGGTCAAAGGAGTACAGCTGAATGGGAAACAAAGAGATGCCTGGCCTCCCTCCTTAAATGGAGGTTTGGGGAGGAACTTGTCCTGCCCGATAATCAGAGGGACAGAAGGCATTAGGAGGAAACTGAAGCTGAGGGAGTTCATTGATTTGTCCACGGTTATAAGAGAAGTAATCAACAGAGCTGAGATTCAAGTCTGGGTCTTGTGACTGCCAGCCTCAACTATCTCTCCTTTCTTCACAGGCACTGGACGTCAGCAAAATGGATGTTTATGATGAAGTCATGGTCTGGCCAACAGCCCAAGCCCCTAGGGGAGAGGGGAGCCCTGCAAGATGATGAGGCTGTCCTTTTATTTTTCCCTTCAGTGATGACCTCCTTCACTTAGGGGCATTCCACAGAGACAGCCTGCATTTTGTGGTGGAAGAGAGCATTCACTCAGTAAACCCTGGGAGAGCCTCCACCCCAAGGAGCACCTGCCTCCAGCCTGGAAATGAGCCCAGGTGCCCCCTGGAGATCCTGCCATGGCCTTGGGCTTCAGATTTAGAGGTTGTTGTCTAGGGGCAATGGGGACTAAGGAAAATGAGAGCATCAGAAAAGGGGAGATCAGGGAGGGGCCTTAGGATATAGAACATGGGATGGCGGAACTGGGAGGAACCTTAGAAAAAGAGAACACGAGACTTCTAAGGAAACTGCAATGTTCTAGCTTCTGTTTTCAAGGGCTACTGCTTCCCTGCCCAGCCCCAAATGATTGTGTTCTAAGATCCTTCCCAGCTCTGGCATTCTAGAGTCTAGATTCCATATATGATCTGATTAGTGTAGACTGTCATCTCGCTTGTTCTAGGCACTTTATTTTTATTAATTCAGCCCAATGACGGCGTTAATTTAATTACATTAAATAAACATTTAGGTACCTACTACATGACAGATATTGTCGGCATTGGGGTGCAGCACCAGGTGCTGGGACCACAAAGACAAAAACCAGAAGAGTTCTGCCCTTAGGAAGCTAACCTTTTCTTGGGTGGGTGGGGGGCACACAAAAGCAAAAACAAGCTAAATGTAAAATGATGATGGTGGGAGAGCGGCAGAACACGAACAACTGAGCTGTGGGGAGGGGAGACGTGGAGTGGGTTGGGAAATGCTGTCAACAAAGCCTGAATAGGATCTTGGGATTCAGAGGCAGAGATGAGCAGAGGTGAGGGCAGATGAGGTGGGGGCAGCATGCCTGGGCAAAGACAGATGTACCAGCCCCTCTCCTGCCTGCCACAACTCACTCTGGTGGTTTCCTATCTCACTAACCAAAACTCTAAGTCTTTTTTCATATGACTTGCTGTTAATCTAATGCTCCTGGTTGGTTGTCCAGTTTCCTTCTTTTAGCCTAAGTACAAGACTTTACATTCATATCTATTAAATTTTGTCTTGTTCATCTGGTAATCCTTTGCAAAGATCACTTCTATTAAAAAAAATTATCTTGATACCTTCTATTTTTACATTGCATTAATTTTTAAAGAAATCAAACAATATTTATTGCGTACCACGGGGAATACTTAATGTAAAACAGAAACATTTTGATGCGAGCAACAGGATTTTAAAATTCGTGGAACTGAATATTCCTGCCAACTAACATTAACTAATACTCCGGTTAACTGAAGAATGGATGTTCTCAATTATTTCTTAGCTGAATGTAGTGACATTGACTTGGGCAAGTAACCTTTGTATGTTAAGAGTCATCCTGATTGGTCTCATGTATTGTTAGAAACACAGTCCTTTAACCATTTATTTAATTTAGTACCCAACCCATCAACTTAATTTCTTTCATCTGATTTCTTCTGTTTGCCTCAGTTTTCTCATCTGTAAAATGAGCTGGAGAAGGAAATGGCAAACCACTCCAGTATCTTTGCCAAGAAAACCCCAAATGGAGTCACAGAGAGTCAGATATGATTGAACAACAAATGCACAATCTAAATGCTGTTTTCCTGAAGACATCTGAGTCAGAAGTCAAAATTTGTTGTCTTGAAGCACATAGATGCCCTGATGATTTGTCCTTAGCTTATCAGTTTGTTTCTTGAAAGCTGTGGTCCAAAACTCTTTACAAATGAACTTCATGATATCTAACTCATCCTTGAATCTTGAAGTGTCCTCTGTAAACCTTTGTATCAGACCTTGTCCTGCTCTAAAACCCATGTTTTCCAGCTTAGTGGTGCATCTTCCACTTTCCAAAATTTTGGGGATATAACCAAAGCAGTCCATAGGGAATATGTTTTATTTCTATCCCCATTTTACAGATGAGGAAACTGAAGCAAACAGAGATTAAATGACTCATCCAGGGTCTCCAAGATAGTAAGTGTCTGAGGCCATATTTAAACTGAGATCTTCCTGACTCCAAGCCCAGGATTCTACTGTGGCACATGGCTGCCCCAAAGTTAAGCATCTTGCCCAGGGCCACACAAGCAGTAAGTAGTAAAACTGAGATTTGAACTCTGTCTTCTGACTCCAAATCACGCTCCCTAGCAAGACGTGGACTAGGGATTATATCATAGGAGCATTATTTGAAGGATTTGGGGTTGGCTAGCCTGGAAAAGAGAATACTGTACTGATTGTGAGCGAGTTATTCTGAGGAAGAGAACTTAAACTTAGCCTGCTTGGTACCACAGGTCAGGACTAAGAGCTGTCCAAGAGTTCAAATGGGCTGCCTCAGAGGGATTGGAAGAGAGATACACTTGAAGTCTTCAAGCAAAGGCTGGGCATCTTATTGGTCATATTGTAATAGGGATTCTTGGCAAGGCATGGGTTGGGCTAGATGGCCTCCGAGGTCTCTTTCCACTGAAGTTCTGTTACTCTGTGATACTATCTTTCATCTTATATTTTTCCATCTTGTCCACAAGTTTCCCATCAAAGACATCTGGTGACACAGTGGTTAGAGCACTGGAGCAAGACTCAGGAAGACTTGAGTTCAAATCCAGCCTCAAGTACTTATTAGCTGTGTGACCCTGGGTGAGTCGCTTGGCCCCTCTTTGCCTCAGTTTCCTCAACTGTAAGGGATAATAATAGTACTTAACTCACTGGATTGTTGTGAAGATAAAATGAGCTGGAACATGTAAAGTGTTTAGGCACAGTGCCTGGCACATAGTAGGCTCTGTATCAATGCATATTTCCTTCCCTTTACCCATCTGTATAATAAGGTGCCTCAACTAGATTATCCCTGATGTCTCTCCTTGTGCTTCATGTTTTGTGTTCTATTTTTTCTGTTCCCTTCTGGCTGTGACATTTTGAGTTATGAGACCTAAGGCTGGAAGGGACAGGAGAGGCCATTAAGTCCAACGCTCTCATTCTAAAGATAAAGAAGCTGAGGCCCAGACAGGGGAAGGGATTTGCCAGGGTCACATAGGGAGCAAATATCAAGAGTCCAGACGCGAATGCAAGACCTCTGACTCAATCCTATGTTGTTGTCGTTGAGTTATTTTAGTTGTATCAGATTCTCTGTGACCCCATTTGGGGTTTTTTTTGGCAGAGATACTGGAATGGGTTTGCTCTTTCCTTCTTCAGCTCATTTTCCAGATGAGGAAACTGAGGCAAACAGAGACAAGTGACTTGCCTAGGGTCACACAGCTAGTAAGTGTCTGAGACTGGATTTGAACTCAGGAAGATGAGTCTGATTACAAGCCCACTGCACCACCTAGCTGCCCTGAAAAACCCTATATACTTTCCACTATGCTAATGTTCATAGGTCCTCATTCATGTAATACTGGCTTTGTCTCTCTCTTATTCCTACCATCTATTTCATAAAATGATGGAATTTTAAGTGAGTTCCAAGGTCATTTATTCCAACCTTCTCATTTTATAGATGGGGAAACTGAGAACCAGAGAATTTAAAGAAAGTAGCCAGGTTGTACAATGGACAGAGTACTGGACCTAGAGTCAGGAAGACCCAAGTTCAAATCTGGCCTCAGACCCTTACTAGCTATGTGACCCTGGGCAAGTCATTTAACTTCTGACTGCCTCAGTTTCCTCATCTATAAAATGGGGATAATACTAGCACCTACTTCTCAGGGTAGCTGTAAGGCTCCAACAAGATAACATTTGTAAAGCACTTAGCTCAGTGCCTGGCCCATAGTAGGAGCTTAATAAATCCTTGTTTCCATCCTTCCTTCCTTAAAAGCCATGCTCCAGGTCACACAGATAGTAATCAGCAGAGTTGGGATTTGTGACCAGCCCAATTCCATGCCGTAGAAATATGAATTATTATTATTCTTTTTGGCTCAAGAGGGCTCGGCTGTACAAAAGGAAAGATGAAGGGGCTGGAGATGGATTCTACCTCCGTCAAGCTAAGATCAGCTGTAAGTTCTAGCAGCCTATGTCTTTGTTCCCAGTTCCTGGTCCCAGGCCAAAAATTTCCTCTAGTCCTCTGGGAGCAAGAGCAGGACATCCAGAACTGTGTGACGAGCTCTGGCTTTCTACATCGTATGATCTGAGGTTGCTGCCGTCCTTGCAGCTCCGATGTTCTACGTTCTTTTTTCAAAAGGCCTTTCCATGAAGACATTTTGTGTCATCGGGTCCTTCCTAGCTTTGGCATTGTCCTCTATTGTCCAAGATTTCTTCCAGAGCTGACATTTCATGATCTGTGTATGTATAACCCTTGTGTCAGAGACTCATTGGTGACATAAAGGACAGCTCAGTTACATAACAACAACAATAATTATAATAACTCAATTTATATTCATACTTTAAGATTTAAAAATCTCTTTACATGTCTATCTGACTTTATCCTTGCAAAAACCATGTGAGGTAGGTGCTATCATTATCTCTTTTTTACAGTTAAGGAAATTGAGCTAGACAGGGGTCAAGATTTGCTCAGGTCAGGGAGAATTCAATATAGATAACCCCCAAGGACAGAAACAAGAACCAAGAACTACATTCTCCCTACAATAAAATTCTTATTTAAACTAAAAAAAAAAAAAGATTTGCTCAGGTCATATATTTCAAGGAAATCTTTCCTAAAAACAGAGTTTCCACCTACATCAATATATTTCTTTTTCCCTCCCCACTTAACGATATTTTATTTTTTCCAGTTATGTGCAAAGACAGTTTTCAAAATTCACTTTTTACAAGATTTTGAGCTCCAAATTTTCTCCCCTCCCTTCCCTCCCACCTCCCCAAGATGACAAACAGTCTAATATAGGCTATACATGTACAATCATGTTAAACATACTTCTACATTAGTCATGTTGTGAAAGAAGAATCAGAACAAAAGGGAAATCCGCAAGAAAGAAAAAGAAAAAAAAACAAAAAGAAAAAAATGATATGCTTCGATCTGCATTCAGACTCCATAGCTCTTTCTCTGGATATGGACAGCATTTTCTATCATGAGTCCCTTGGAATTGTCTTAGATCATTGCATTGCTGAGAAGAGCTAAGTCTGTTAAAGTTGGTCACCACACAATGCACCAACACATTTCTAACAGTCCTTTTCGTGGTAGCAAAGAATTGGAAAGTGTGTGTGGACTAGCTACTCAGTATGCAATCTCTAGGTTAGCCACCAGGCGGCGCCCTCCTCCCTGAGCTACAAGCCTTTCTCGCTCAGGTTCCCTAAGGTATGAAAATTCCTAATGTCATAGTTATAAAATGATTAATGCTCCCATTACCATAAGTTTCTCATCTCCTTTCCAATTTCATGAGACGTAAATGGATTATATGCTCACGTTATCGAGTAGAGCATGTTTACCAAATGGAATCTAAGGCAAATGCAGTACCCTGAAAGTTTTGAGCAGCTGACTTTGCTGCTCCTACAATAGTTTGAAATCAAAGCCTTCGAGCAGCTGCAGCCCCTCCTGCTAACATCTATTTTTACCAAGGAACAGGTGCCCCAAGAGGCCACTTGTAGAGGGGAGTTTCAAGCGTTGACTCTCCCCATCAGCATTATAAGGCAAGGAATGGGAGCCATCCCATTCACCATGTGGCAGGTGTGGTGTCTTAAAAGGTTCGAGAGTTCTAATTTCTGGGTAATTTAGCCATTTTACTAATAATGCCAGCATTTTAATAAAAGGATGGTCATTTGACCATCTCTCTCTTAGACCAAAGACAATCCTGGCAGTGGGCTCATGACTTACATGCCCTTTTGGAAGATTAAGAATTCATCCCCACCCAAACCTCAGTAGAGCACAATGACTTCCCCACCTGGGTAGGGTCTGAACAAGAACATTCAATCTCATTATTAGTAATGTCCTTCAAAAGACTGAACTTTTCAAATCAGGACTTTTGAAAAAGGAGGAACTCTCGATCTCCCCAAGTTAATTATTATTGATTAAAAATAATTTCTCTCACAGGAGATGACCTTCACCCCAAATACTGGAGGGACAGTAATTACTTTCTGGTCTATCATCATGCAGAAGTTCTTTGC